TGTGTATGTTCCCTCACGTGCATCTACCATTGGGATTTAAAAACCCGAAGTTTGAGAAATATGACGGGCACGGGGATCCCGTTGCCCACCTTAAAAGATATTGCAACCAGTTGCGGGGAGCGGGCGGAAAAGAAGAGCTCCTCATGGCTTACTTTGGAGAGAGTTTGGTTGGCATCGCGTCTGAATGGTATATGGACCAAGATATATCCCGTTGGCATATTTGGGATAATCTTGCTTGAGACTTTGTCAGGAAGTTTCAGTACAACATCGACATTGCCCCGGAAAGAAACTCATTAATAAATCTAAAGAAGAAGTCCTCTACAAGCTTCCGAGAGTACGTTGTCAAGTGGCGTGAGCAAGCCTCCAGGGCAAAGCCTCCAATGGACGAAATTGAAATGGTCACGGTCTTCCTTCAAGCCCAAGAGGCTAATTATTTTCAAAACATGATGTCTGCGATGGGTAAGCCGTTTATCGAAGCCATCAAAATCGGTGAAATGGTTGAAAATGGGTTGAAAACAGGGTGAATCTTAAGTCAGTCTGCTATAAGGGCTACCTCCCAAGCCATCCAGGGCGGGTCTGGAGGAGTAGCAAATCGAAAGAAAAAGGAAGAAACAGCAATGGCAACTTCGAGTGCAAGAAAACCTCGTCCACCCAGACCTCTTTTCTCTGAAAGAACCCCACACCACTATTATCCCCACCAAGATGTAGCTTATGCTCCTCAGCCATACACAGTGATGAATGCCCAACCCTATGTCAGGCCACAACAACAATTTAACCAGAACAAAGCTCCATTCCCCAGAAATCAACCTCCTTACCAAGCTCACTACAACCCCCGACCTCTACAGAACAACTTCCATACCCGGGGACCACCCAAGAAAACAAACTTCACACCCATTGGTGAGTCCTATTCTAGACTATTCCCCAAATTGGTCCAAATGGGTTTGTTGCAACCCGTACCCCTAATAGGCAAAACCCAGAATCACCCTCTTACCAACATGGCGCCCGGTGTGCCTATCATTCAGGGGCAGAAGGGCATGATATAGATAGTTGTTGGACCTTGAAGAGGGTTGTGGAAGATCTGATAGAACAAAAGAGAATAGTGCTAAGGGACGAAGATATTCCTAATGTAACCAACAATCCACTACCGGCTCACAACAACGGGCCGGTTATTAGAATGATCTGCAAGGACAGAGAGTTCGACCCAGCTCTAAAAGCCATCATTGCCATAGCCGACGTGGAAAAGAAACCAAAAGCGGTCCCAAAACAAGACAATGGGTAGAAAAAGAGCAAAACCACCCCTCAGAAGATGGAAAGAAGGTGGAATTAAAACTGGGGCAGCACCCTCCAAAGATGTCGTTCTCTATGTCCCTCGAGGCCGCAAGAAAGAGCAGATGTCATTGAGTCCTCCTAGAAGTTTTGAGCTAAACAGGGGAGCTCAAATGTATGTTCCCAAAGGGACCTACGTGATGCGGGGGCCAATAATTCCCCCAAGGCTGAGTGAGCCCGTGGTTATTGGCCGCGTGCCATAAAGGCCCATGACAGATCCCACTGTGGTGCCATGGAACTATAACAAATCAGTAGTAACTTACAAAGGCAAAGATATCTTGGGAGAAATTAAGGAAAATAACCCGGTTGAGAAGTACCTTAATCTGGAGGAAGTAAATAATGCCACAAAGAAGTGTTTCCCACCTAAGAAGCCAGTGAGTGCTGAGGAAGCAGAAGCATTCTTCCAGAAAATGAAAACGGCAGACTACGAGATAATCGACCAACTTCGAAAATCTCCTGATCAAGTCTACCTTTTGTCTCTGCTGATGAACTCAACTGAACATCAAAAAGTATTGATCAAAACTCTCAACGAAGCATATGTGCCTATTGAAACCACTGTAGAATAGTTGGAGAGGATGGCAGAGAGGTTTTTTGCAATCAACCAAATCTCTTTTAGCAAGAGTGATCTATCGCCGGAAGGGGCCGCACATAACAAAGTCCTTCACACAGTCAAATGCGAAGGGTATTATGTGAAAAGGGTCATGCTTGATGGTGGTTCTGGGGTAGATATTTGCCCACTTTCAACCCTGCAACGTATAGAAATCGGTAATGAGAGAATCCGACCCAACAACGTCTGTGTGCGTGCCTTTGATGGCATAAAGAGAGATACAATAGGCGAGATTGATCTGATCCTGACTATCGGCCCGGTGGACTTCGAAGTGACTTTCCAAGTTTTGGACATGGATACTTCCTACAACTTCCTCTTAGGAAGGCCATGGATTCACGCAGCAGGGGCTATGCCTTCTACTCTCCACCAGATGGTGAAATTCGAACATGAAGATCAGGATATTGTAGTTCACGGGGAAGATGAGCAATCGATCTATCGGGACCCGTCAGTCCCTTCTCTTGAAGCTAGAGAGGGAAGTGAACACATAGTTTACCAGGCTTTTGAAATTGTGGTCGCGTACCAATCTGAAGAAGGAAAACCCTGCCCTCAACGCTTTCTCTCCAATGCGTCAATTATGGTCGCCAAAGAAATGATCAGACATGGTTACAAGCCCGGGAAGGGGCTCGGGACTTCATTGCATGGAATTACTGAACCTGTCACTCTGGCTGCTAGCAAGAAGCGCTTTGGTGTGGGCTTCCAAGCCACGCCAGCTGATGAGACCTGGGCAGATATACGAAAGAACGATGGTTGGGACTTGCCTCAGCCAGTTCCGCGTCTTCATAGGACATTTGTCAAGCCTAAATACAATGAGGAAGAGGAATGAGGCCTTTACGGCCGAGGAAATTGAAGAAATCTGTGGGGCTATGAGGCAGATGTTGTACGAAACCCACATGGTTCAACCAGGGGAAGGCTCAAGCACCGCTGAGGTGCTGTATATGGGACCTAATGCCAAGCTGCAGAACTGGAAGGCTACGCCATTCCCAATCAGGCAGGAGTCCCGTAGACTAGTCCTGCCACTTTTTCTGCATCACGAGTTATTTCAGGTTGTAACTCGGATGTTTTCTTTAGTTTCCTGTCTTTTAATTTCCAATGTAAACCCTGTTATCTTCAAATTCAATGAAATGAAATCAATATTTCATCATTCATCTTTCTTTATTCCTTCTGATTTTTGTTATTTTTCTCTTTTTTTTCTTCTTTCAGTTCTAATAATGCGGCTTTAAATAACATGACATGCTTGCGGACTTTATGACCAGATTCAAACACGATGTCTAACTGTGAAATAATGAACCAAGAATCAGAATATGATGAAGAAGAGGCTTTTAGGGAAATAAATCGAGAGTTGGAACAATTTGAGAATAAACCTAAGTCGAACTTAAATGATATTGAGCCGGTTAATTTGGGTAGTTCTGAAGAAATCAGGGAAACCAAGATAAGCATTCACACAGATGGAAAAACCCGGGACACATTAATCCAACTCTTGTTTGAGTTCAAAGATGTGTTTGCTTGGTCATATGACGACATGCCAGGGCTAAGTGTTGATTTGGTGGTTCATAAGTTGCCGACTTACCCCGATTAACCCCCTGTCCAGCAAAAGCAAAGAAAGTTTAAAACTGATATCAGTGACAAGATTAAAGAAGAAGTCACGAAACAGTTGAAAGCGGGGGTGATCCGAGTGGTTCGATACACCACGTGGTTAGCCAATGTAGTTCCAGTGCCAAAGAAAGACGGGAAAACCCGAGTGTGTGTGGATTACAGAGATCTAAACAAAGCAAGTCCCAAAGATAACTTCCCTTTGCCGAACATCCACATCATTGTTGATAACTGCGCCAAACATGAGATACAGTCCTTCATGGATTGTTACGCAGGATATCACCAGGTGTTGATGGATGAAGAAGATGCAGAAAAGACAGTTTTTACCATACCCTGGGGCACATACTATTACAGGGTCATGCCGTTTGGTTTGAAGAACACCGGGGCAACCTACATGAGGGCCATGACTGCCATTTTTCATGTATAATGCATCAAGAGATAGAGGTGTATGTGGACGACGTGATCATCAAGTCCAGGACCCAGGATGACCATATTCGGGATTTGAGAAAATTCTTTGAGCGGCTACGTAAATATGCAAAGTGTGCATTTGGGGTACCATCCCGTAAACTCTTGGGATTCATAGTCAGTCGGAGAGGCATCGAGTTAGACCCAACAAAGATAAAGTCTATTCGGGATTTGCCTCCTCCAAGAACCAAGAAAGATGTTATGAGCTTGTTGGGAAGATTGAACTACATCAGCCGATTCATTGCCCAGCTGACATCTACATGCGAACCCATCTTCAAGCTGTTAAAGAAATATGCGGCGATCAAATGGACAAACGAGTGCCAAGAAGCTTTTGATAAAATCAAAGAATATCTGTCAAATCCGCCAGTATTGGTCCCACTTGAACCAGGGAGGCCTCTGTTCTTGTATCTAACAGTCTTGGAAAATTCTTTCGGCTGTGTCCTCGGGCAACATGATGTGACCGAAAAGAAAGAGCAGGCCATTTACTATCTGACCAAGAAGTTTACCAGTTATGAAGCCAAGTACACTTTATTGGAAAGAACTTGCTGCGCTTTAACTTGGGTCGCTCAGAAGCTGAGGCATTATTTGCAAGCCTATACCACTTACCTCATAACCAGGTTGGATCCTTTAAAATACATATTCCAGAAGCCAATGCCCACTGGGAGATTAGCAAAGTGGCAGATCCTGCTCACGGAATTTGACATAGTCTATGTCACTCGAGCGGCAATGAAAGCCCAGGCGTTAGCAGATCATTTGGCTGAATCAGGTCGATGATGAATACCAACCTTTGAACACTTACTTCCCGGATGAAGAGGTGAATTCAGTTGAGGCAATATCCGAAGACACCAATGCTTGGAAAATGTTCTTTGATGGGGCGGTAAACGCAAAAGGTGTTGGAATCGGGGCAATCTTGATCTCACCCACTGGTGAGCATTATCCAGCCACAGCCCGACTTCGGTTTTTCTGCACAAACAATACTGCCGAGTATGAAGCCTGCATTATGGGTATGAACATGGCAATCGACCATGATGTCGAAGAGTTTCTAATCATGGGGGACTCGGATCTGATTATCCGACAAGCTCAAGGAGAATGGGAGACCCGAGATGTCAAGCTTATTCCTTATAGGCAACATGTGGAAGAACTTGGCAGGCGATTCAAGTAAATAGAGTTCAGGTACATCCCACATTGTCACAATGAATTAGCTGATGCACTTGCTACTTTGGCCTCTATGCTGCCATACCCAGGCAATGCCCACATTCATCCTTTGGAGATCCAAATCCGGGAAAGGCATGGCTATTGTAATACGGTTGAAGAAGAACCAAATATTCAGCCATGGTATCATGACATCAAGATATTTCTGAAAACTAAAGAATACCCTGAGCAAGCTAGCGGAGACCAAAAGAGAACCATTAGACGGCACGCAAGTGGTTCTTTTTTAGCGGTGATGTCATGTATAAAAGGACTCTGAATCTCAACTTGTTAAGATGTGTTGATGCCGAAGAGGCTGGAAGAATCATGTATGAAGTGCACGCCGGAGTGTGCGAACCCCACATGAACGGGTATGTTTTTGCAAAGAAAATCCTCCGAGCGGGCTACTACTGGATGACCATGGAAAAAGACTGCTTCAGTTTTGTTCGGAAATGTCATCAGTGTCAGGTGCACGGTGATTTGATTCATGCACCTCCCACATAACTGCATCCCATGTCAGCGCCTTGGCCATTTGTTGCCTGGGCAGTGGACGTCATTGGGCCAATCAAGCCAAAATCCTAAAATGGGTACAGATTTATACTGGTCGCCATCGACTATTTCACGAAGTGGGTTGAAGCAATCACTCTCAAATCTGTCACCAAGAAAGCTGTGGTAGATTTTGTGCACTCCTATCTTATCTGTCGTTTTGGTATCCCTGCAATTATCATCACAGATAATGCTGCAAACTTGAATAGTCATTTGATGGGGGAGATATGTGAACAATTCAAGATAACGCATCGGAACTCTACTCCTTACCGGCCTAAAGCCAATGGTGCCGTCGAAGCAGCAAACAAGAACATCAAGAAGATTTTGAGAAAGATGATTCAAAGTTCGAGGCAGTAGCATGAAAAGTTGTCATTTGCATTGTTCGCATATCGCACTATTGTGCGCACATCAATCGGAGCAACCCGTATCTTTTGGTTTATGGCACTGAAGCCGTAATACCCATGGAGGTTGAAATCCTCTCTCTCCGGATCATTGTTGAAGCTGAAGTTGAAGATAGTCAGTGGGTCGAAACCCGTCTGGAATAGTTAAACCTGATTGATGAAAAACGAATGGCTGCAGTCTGCCACAGGCAGTTGTACCAACAAAGATTGGCCCGTGCCTACAACAAGAAAGTGCGGCCCAGAAATTTTGAAGTGGGGCAACTCGTGTTAAGGCGTATTCTTCCCCATCATCAGGAAGCAAAAGGAAAATTTTCTCCTAATTGGAAAGGCCCGTATATCATCAGAAAGATATTGCCAAGAGGGGCATTATACTTGGGAGATATCGAAGGAAATGATTCCGAAGCAGCTGTGAATGTGGATGCAGTCAAAAGGTACTATGTTTAGTCTTTCTGCAGCGACAACATTATCCGATTGGGATGACGAAGGCTTTCATTCTTGCTACCCCAAACACTCCAATCCTTTGCTAACCCTTTGAGCTGGTTATCTTTCTTTCATTACCCTCTTTGGAACTCGAAGATGTTTGTAAAAAAAAATATGATGATGAAAATTAAATGATGAAAAAAAAAAGAAGCAAAAAGAAAAACAAAAAACAAAAACAAAATGTTTCCCTGAACTACGTTCGACTTGATTCCGATAGGATACGTAGGCAGTCTCTCTCTAGGGTTCAGTCACAACAAAATAAAAAACCAGTTTTCCCCAAAAAGTGAAACTGGGGCAGATGTTATATTGGTCGGCAATGATCCCGCCATAACGGTTCCAAAGTTGTAATTCAATCCAATTCTTTTTACCCAAACCTTGTTCAAGTCCTTCCAATCAATTGGCAAAAGGTTTTCAAAATCAGAGAACGTAGTTGTTTGGATCCCATGCAACCAGGATGAGAGAAATAAAACGAGAGAGTCTTATTGGTGAAAACCCACAAGCACCATAAGTCGACGGTGAGCAGAGAAATTGAAAATGAGAGAGTCTTGTTAGTGAAAACTCGTAAAAGAGCACTATAAGGCGATGGTAAGAAGAGAAATGAGAGAGGTCGATTGGCGAAAACCCGCAAAGGGCGCTGTTGATCGAAAAGAAGAAACCCCTCACCACCATTGGTATTGAAAGAGTCCTGGCAAGGTTTCTCGATTTTGAAACACGGTTCGCAATGTGGTTTATTGGAAGTTGGGATAGTGTGTGCGGATCGGGCACCCAGTCCAAGAAGCTTGTCATGTCTATTGAAGTCTGCATGCAACCCCAGATAAGTCCTTCTTTCCTCCCCAAAAGGGACACTTCTTTTTAAATTCATTTTCTTGTCCTTTGTTTACTTTTCCTTGAATCCCTTTCGGTCTAACTCTGTTTCCGAAACTAATACAAAGAAAAGGTGGCAAGATTGGTTTTACAGGGTCCCGCTTAATAAAAGCCAAGTCCAAAGAAAGTACCAAACCTCAGCGAGTGCATCAAGTCGACCCCGACTGGCCATGACGGCCGATGCTCTGAAACCCAAAGTTATTGAAAATGAAAGGAAGCCAAGGCAAAAGCCCCTAGAGGCAGAATAAAGTGAAAGGACCAAAGCCCCATACGGGCGAGCGGTCACTATAAATTTTTGAAAAGTTGAGGCCCTCGGTTTAAGAAAGAGATCGATCTTCAGAAAATCCAGCAAGCAGAGGTTCTCACCAAAAGTTGGGTCGAGATCGAGTGATCAAAACAATCAAGGCCACAAAACCAACCACCGTTTCAAACTAACAATGTTCTTCATTTGAAAAATTGAAAAGATGTAATCCAAAGCAACCGTGCAAGAAGCAGGTGCAACCAAAAAGGAAAGAATGCGCAAGAGCTAGAAACAGCTTCGCAGTAATAATCAACCCAAAAGGGAAGTTTCCTCCAAATTCTTTCCTACATTTTTACTAAAAAACAAAAAAAGAAGGAAATCGAATTGAAGAATGAAATGAAATAAAAAGGGTAAAATGAAAAGAAAAAAAGAGAAGAAAATCCCAAAATCATGGTAGCATAGGGCCTCCAATCTCTAGCTGCATCATTTCAACATAGGGCCCCATTCCCTAGTTATCCCCGGCATAACCCGAGGACCTTTTTTCTTTTCCCCGGCATAACCCGCGGACCTCCCCGGCATATCCCGTGGACCTCCTTGGCATAACCAATGACCTTTTTTCTTTTATCCCGGCATAACCCGTGGACCTCCCTGGCATAACCCAAGGACCTTTTTCTTTTATCCCGTCATAACCCGTGGACCTCCCTGGCATAACCCAAGGACCTTTTTTCTTTTATCCCGGCATAACCCGTGGACCTCCCTGTCATAACCCAAGGACCTTTTTTCTTTTCTCCCGGCATAACCCGTGGCCCTGACTGGCATAACCCAGGGACTTTTTTTCTTTTCTCCCGGCATAACCCGTGGACCTCCCTGGCATAACCCAAGGACCCTTTTTTTTTCTTTTCCCGGCATAACCCGTGGACCTCCCTGGCATAACCCAAAGATCTTTTTTCTTTTATCTCGGCATAACCCGTGGACCTCCCTGGCATAACCCAAGGACCTTTTTTCTTTTATCTCGGCATAACCCGTGGACCTCCCTGGCCCAAGGACCTTTTTCTTTTATCCCGGCATAACCCGTGGACCTCCTTGGCATAACCCAAGGACCTTTTTTTTCTTTTATCCCGGCATAACCCTTGGACTTCCCTGGCATAACCCAAGGACCTTTTTTTTCTTTTATCCCGGCGTAACTCGTGGACCTCCCTGGCATAACCCAGAAACCTTTTTTCTTTTCTCCCGGCATAACCCGTGGACCTCCCTGGCATAACCCAGGGATCTTTTTTCTTTTTCTCCCGGCATAACCCGTGGACCTCCCCGGCATAACCCGAGGACCTTTTTTATTTTCTCTCGGCATAACCCGAGGACCTTTTTCTTTTCTTATGGCATAACCCGATAACTTCCCCGGCATAACCCGATGACCCTTTTTCTTTTCCGACATAACCCGGTTATCTTTCCAGCATAACCTGGCAATCTTCCCAATTTAGGACTTCACTCCCTACTCCCAAGGGTACACAATCCTGATTTTTATTGCTTTCAATGAAGAAATAGTTTAGATTTTTTTTTGCAAATAACTCACGAAATTTTCCTAGTGAAAACTGGGGCAGAAAAATTTCGTTCGTTTGTTTGTTTTGGTGTCTGAGCAGGTTTGACCTCGAGGCACAGGGTTCGAGATGACCAAAAGAATGAGTCTCAATCCAAAATAAAGAAAAGAAGAGAAAAGAACAAAAGAAGTGAACTTAGAGTGCTGAAGCGGAGAAAGATGCGGACTGCTCGAAATTTGATTGAAGTCACAATCTTTGCATGTCCCGCCTTGATTCAAAAGCTGAAGAATGAACCCGTGGTTGCAACTAACGAGCATCAAGATTCAGATTGGAGTCCACAGCAAGAACCAGCTAAGACTCAAGATCAAGCTTCAAGAGATTTATATATAGGAATCTTGTAACTCGTAGTTGATAGGTTTAGCTAGCTTAGTTTTTTTATTTTCCATTTTTGGTGTAATAAGGAGTTCGGCAAGCAGTAGCAGCAGCAGCAACAGTGAAATCACAGATTCCCGGTAGTCCCAGCTACCAAAACTTCCAGAACTACACTGACCTGATTCCTTTGTAGCCAAGGATATGTAGACAACCTTTGAAGCAAGGTTCGGTCAGACTCTTTTCAAAAATGCTTCCCACGGAGTGTCAAACGGGCAAAAATCACTCATAATTGCTCATTTTATCTTTGCCCAAAAACCCTTCGTGTCCCCGAGCAAAGAGGGGCAGCTATGAGCACGTGATTTTTGCCTCACCTGAATTGCTCCTACAAAATCCCAAAAATTAGATTTTTCCTTTTAATTAGTTGTTATTTTAGGAATTATTTTCTTGTTTGTTTGCATTTTGTGTGCACGTTTAATTTTATTTAATTCATAAAAAATACAAAAATATGCTGCATTTGCATTTAGGATTTTATTTTATATTTTTAGATTAATTAGTAAATTAGCGTTTTACAAAAATGGAAAAATAAAAAATAAAAAAACTCATTTTCGTATTTTTTGATTTTTTTAGCTTTAAATTTTATAGTTTTTTTAGTAATTAATTAGTTATTGTAAATACTATTTTTAGTAATTAGTCTAATTTGTTAGAATATTTTAGTTTAAGGATTAATTTAGGTTTTTATTTTAATTTGAAAAGAAAAGAAATTTGAAATAAAGAGGAAATGAAAGGTAAAGAAGTAAAAAGAATCAAATTTTTCTTGGGCCAAATCCTTAAAGTACCAAGCACAATTGATTTAACACTCGTTACCCGTCCAATTCAACCAAAAATCGGCCCAAACCCGGATCTTTATACGGTCAGCATCTCATGTGAAACGGTGTCGTTTTGAGTTCCCAACTCTAGCTCAATCTGAGCCTTCCATTTCCTTCCATCGAACGGCCGTCAAGGCCCTTCCCTAAACACATAAAAATGTCCGAAATCCTAAAAGACCAAGTCAGTTCTCAAATGCCCTCTCTCACTTCGTCTTCCTCAGACCAAAGAACCCTAGCGCCGCCCCCATTTCTCACCGCTCTTAGCCGGCGGCACCGGTCCCAAACCGATCCAAATTAACACCACATAACCACCACGACCTCCTCATTCCAAATCCACACCCCTTTTTCCTCAAATCAGACTTGAACCCCTCAAATCTTGAATCAAAGTTGAACCCTAAAATCCTAAAATTTCATAATCGAGATTTCTTTGAAGATTTTAGGTTGATTCTGACTTTATTCGTGTGTTTTTTATAAAGAGCACACGATTAATCTCAGATTGAGCTGAAAATTGAGAGATTTGAAGACCCAATCTCAGCCCCTTGATGCCCGAGTTTTTGTAGGTATTTCCCATCTTCCTTTTGTTTAATCTGTTCTTCCTTTCTTTTTCATCATTTTTTCTGTCTTCTATCTTTTTCTTTCTTCTGGATTCTTTCTCGTTTTTGTTAGTTCTTCAGAGTCATTTTTGTTATGCATGTTAATGTTAATTTGTTATTTAGCATGTTTCCCTTTTGTGTTAGATTTGTGCGAATTAAGCCCAAAACTTCATGAGTCTTTGTGATTCAGTAGGTCGTTTTGGTTGGTAATTTTGTTTGTTGACTTGGAATTTGGGTTTGACAGAGTTCAGATTAGATTTGGACCCTGAAATTTGAAGCCCAAGACCTGAGTTATACAGACCCACTAAATGAAATTGGGTCAATTTGACCCAATGTTTTGGTCTGGTTTCAAAAGTAATTAACAGGGTCCTGAAGGGTAGTTTAGGGAGTTTAGGTGAAAGAGTCTCTGAATAACAGACTAGGGAAACTTCTAGGAAGCTGGGGTGGGGACTAATGTGAAATCTGATTTCTGAACTAAAGGATCTTTAAGAAAAAATGAAAATTCAAAAAGGGTCAAAATGCAAAATCTGATTTATTTAGGCTGCCCTAGTACCTTGCCTATAAAGGCATCCTTTTCTTCAAGCTCAAGTCAAATTTTAGAGAAGAAAATATCCTAAAAAAACAAAACGGCTGAAAACTCTAAAATTACACTGATTTCCGGCATTTTCTTGGATTAAATTGCTCAAAATTCTGCTAAGTTTGGATTTTCTGATCCTCTCCTTTAGTCAAAAATTTTTAAAACTTCAAACTCCTGCACCTGTTTGAAGAAATGGTTTGATCTTTGGGACTTGAAAATCTGGGTTTGAGCTTTGCTGTTGCTGGCTACTGTTTCATTGCTGCTTCTACTCTTGCTGTTTCACTTTTCAGCTCATTTTACTTGTTCCATTTGCTGTAATCAGGTACATGATCTCTGGTTCTACCTCATGTGAAGCTTGAATTGAAGAATGAAATGGAAAACTAGAGTTCAAAACATATTTTCAGTTTCATTTTGTGAATTTAGTTCTATCTCTTTATTGTATGGTGTTTTTTTTGTAGCTTTAGTTCATTGTCTTCCTGATTAATTTTTGGTCTAGCTGGTGGAATTTGTGTCTTGTATCTAATTTGGGACTGTTAAGATGCTGTGGATAAAAGACTTAGTCAAAGGCATGCGTTTCAGTTCTTCTTTAGTTTTGGCTATACATTTCAGTTTTTTACATTGCTTGGTGATAACTTCATGTTAGAACTAGCTGTAAAGAGGCTAAGGGTAAAAATGAAAACGTGTGATATGTTATTTGAAAGATTCTATGAGATGTTCTCTTTGCTGTGAATGGCTTGTAGTGTATTGATTATGAACTCATGTTGAAAAACAGTCTAATTTGCCTATGAGTTTTGTTTAAGGTTTTGGCATAAATCATTCATGTGTTCAACATCTGTTTGAAATGAGTCTCTTACTTCACAGTTTCAAAGTCTGCTTTTAAAAAGGGAATTCAGAATCATCATGTGGAGGTTTTCAGATTTATTAAAACACTGTCCAATTTAAGCACTTCTTAAAGAGTGAATATGGATATAAGTGGTGGAATGTACGCACCTAGAAATCAATTGTTTGATTAAGGATATTTGGAGTGAGATTTAATAAATGGAATCAGACTTAGGCGTTTGTTCTACTAGAGAGTCCAAATGTTTGTGTATGTGGTTCTCATGACTCTAAAGAATGCTTTATATCTTGAAAAAGGGTTGAATAATAAGAACATGCTTGGTATTGGTCTACAAGACAGTAATTGTTTCTAATTCAAAGCGTTGTGCATGATTATAATTTAGTGTTGGATCTTGCAATTGGGCCTTTAGCACTGGCCCAGTGTCCTCTTCGCGTCCAAGATGCGCTACAGGTTTCATTTAAGCCTAGCCCTTTGTTTTTGACGTGCAAGCTTACAAAAGGCTGATTTGGGCTGGCTGTTAATTGGGCTTTGCGCATAACCAAACGCTGGTTCATTTATTGTACTGATTCTTAAGGTTAAGTTATTTGTTTGCCTAGATTAAATTCAAATCACGTTAAGCCTGTAGCTAACTAACTAGACTCCTTTAATAATTGAGGTGAGCCACATTAAATAACAAAATTAGTTTATGGCCCTCATGATCTTACTTAGGTTTCATTCTTAGACATTTAGATTTGAGGCATGCCATATTAGGTAAGACATAGTCTATGGCCCTCAAAAGTTTAGCTTTAAATTCTTTTTAAAATCAGAATCGATGTGTGCCATGCCAAATAAAATCTCAAAATGTGTGGCCCTCGCTTAATTAATTTTTTTATCCTTAGAAATCGAGGCGCGCCACTTAGTTGAATTTCCCATTGTCCTCGCAAAGTTAAATGTGCGTAGTTGCTTTAGGCGCGCTATTTTAAAATTTTACCTTCCTAAACTCGGGTGTGCATTTCATGTGACCCAAATCCAAATCTCAACAATGTTAAATAAAATGTGTCTCGGACTGCGGGTGCATTTCATGTGGCGTGGTACAAAGACGCGTTTTAGATGACGTTAAAATCTTCTTAAAATTAACTAAAAGCGGTTAATAGTTTAAAATTGTTTCATAGGCTAAAACATATATTAAAATCAGATGATAGGCCAATTATGATAGTTTAAGCAACCGTGCTAGAACCACGGAATCCGGGGGTGCCTAACACCTTCCCTCGGGTTAATAGAATTCCTTATTCAGAATTTCTGGTTCGCAGACTTCAAAAGGAAAGTCGAATTTTCCTCGATTTGGTATTTTAAAATAAATTGGTGACTTGGGACACCAGAAAACAAACCATCCCAAGTGGTGACTCTGAATTTGAATAAATAATCTCATTTCGAATAATGTCACTTAAATTGGAAAAACTCCCTTATACTTCCCTCTCAGGGTGTGTAAAAAGGAGGTGTGACAGTCATGGCACCTAGTCTTAGGAACTAGGTAAGCCTAACATTTACGGAATAACAACAATAAGAAAGAAAATTCTAATAGTCCCGTTATAGAAATCTTTACAAAACTTTTAATTTCCAAAAACCGGTAGTACAAGTCATAAGTTATACAGAGTTTACTACAACATCTAAATACAACTGTTTGGAAATAAGTAAAATAGTGTGAATATAAAAATAAAAAGGTGACTCTGAAGCCTGCGAACGCAGCAACATCTTTACTTTGAGTCTCCACAGCAGCGATCCGCACAGCTACTAACGAACAAGTACCTGGATCTGTATAAAAATGTACATAAGTGTAGCATGAGCACACCACAGTGGTGCCCAGTAAGTATCAAGACTAACCTCGGTGGAGTAGTGACGAGGAACAGTCAAGACACCTACTGGTCTAATAAACTGAAAAGAATAAGTATAGAAACAACAGAACATGATATCTATATAAAGACTACACGATATGGCCAACAATACAGTAATTGCAATAATGAAGGAAACAACAGGTATCAGCGAAACACCATAATAAGGACACAGAAGAGTGAACGAAAACACAACCCAAATCCGAAATCACAAATACAGTAAAGACAAGTAATAACTCAGCAACTACGGTAGTTTTCACATCAGGTCTTAGCCAACAAATTCCAATCAATTAATCAAATCCTTCAAATATAACTTTCACCATAAGTTTTCAAATAGAAATCTTTAGAATATAATCCTTCCCAATAAAGATATTTCGAATATATTTCCTTCAAAAATATCTTTCAAATATAGTTCTTTCAAAATAAATACCTTTCGATTATAATCCTTTCAGATAAATATCTTTCGAATATAAGTCAGCCTGTGACACCTCATCTCATAATCATACAATATGGGTCTCAGCCCACTTTCATATTTCCATGGCACCTCGTGGCCATATTTCTATCACAACCGCACAGAAAACTCACGTGGAAAAAACATCAATATATAAAGATCCGCGGGATCAATTTAGTTCCGAAATAGTTTGAGTGAAGAAAATGACATTGCACTTAATTTAAATTTTGAATATGCAATATAGGGGGGAATCTCCCGAAATACCGTCCCGTAGTCCCAAAGTAAATATACAGTGCAGGGGAATCTCCAGGAATACCGTTCCGTAATCCCAAAGTAAATATGCAGTGCAGGGGGATCTCCCGGAATACCGTTCCGTAGTCCCAAAGTAAATATGTAGTACAGGGGTTCTCCGGAAAACCGTTCTGTAGTCCCAAAGTAAATATGCAGTGTAGGGGGATCTCCCGAAATATCATTCCTTAGTCCCAAAGTAAATATGCAACTCAACTAAACGAGATAACAGTAACAACACGACAGGAACCTCGTGCATCACCACAACAAGCACAATAGCAACAATGACAATAATACAAAGTACGGCAAGTAAATCAACTCAAGAACTTTAAATCCAAAAAGAAACGATAGAACTCATTCACAAGGGATATCCACAGTAAGGAATACTAGACGTAAAGAGAACAAATTAACAAGGGAAAACTGAAATGTAGCAACAACTCCACAATATATGGTTCAACCGCAAGGAAGCTAACGCGAGTTAAATAATTCCAATAATGCTATGTCAACTCAAATATAGGATACTAACTTCTTTCAAGGTTGAGCAATTACGAAGGTTATTCAACAATTCAATTAAGGATAAGTGGCGGAAAGATAATCGCAACCTCAAATAAGACCAAACAGTTACAGGATGAGACAATAATAATTTCAGATAAATATAGGCAGATATGAAAAGATAGCATGTCAATAGGAGAGGTACAAATCTTCAATTAAGTGAAATAGGCAATAAGAGTGAGTCATAAAGCAATTAATTCCAATTAAGCATGTAGAGGTGAAACTAGAAATTAGGAAACTCAATCATATCATGAACAACTTCCTACTTAGTTAATGTAAGGACCTAAGAACCCTAAAAGCACAATTTTCTACAAGTAAGTCTGAGCACGCACTCGTCACCTTGCGTACACGAACTACAATCAACACAGAAGACTCAACCTAAGAAAAAATCTCCCACAAGGTTAGGAAAGATACTTACCTCAAAGAAAACAAACTGATACTCTAAAATGAATTTGTCGGGTGAAAAGACCTTCAGACGGCTCAAATCTAACCAAAATAACTTCAAAGCATAAATAAAACTCATAAGAAACTATTCCGGATCATAAAGTCTCCATCTTTAACAAAATCCAAAAATTGGTCCAAAAGTCGACCCTAGGCCCTGTCATGACCCCAAATACCGGTCGTGATGGCGCCTATCACATTACTAGGCAAGCCGAACCAACCAAATAATCACAACTCATTTTCATTTAATAACCCATTTTCTAACACGGTTTAAATACCAAGTTTTCATAAAACGTTTAAAAAGCAACAAAATATATATGCGGAAGTCGAATAAACATGAAAATACACAGACCAATAATCTGGTGTCACGAGTCTAGAGCCTCTAGTACATGGATAGGGAGGGAGGAGAAAATAGGGATGCAGACGCCATGCAGCTACCTTGAAATCTCCGTCAACACTGGATTAGCAGAGGACCCTTACTCAGCCGCTCGGGCACCTGGATCTGCACACAAGGTGCAGGGAGTAACGTGAGTACGCTAACTCAGTAAGTAACTAAAGTAAATAAGGACTGAAAGAAGTGACGAGTAGTTAAGAATCATATAACTGAATAAACAACAGGATAACAGATCAACTTTACAGTTTGAAACCAGTTTTGTCATAAAATCAACATTTTCAGTTTAAACACTTGAAATCATATTCTTAGCAATATTTCCAACAGAGACATATTTAAAAGAAGAGTGAAATCAGTAAAAATATCATAATTGGGCCCCTCGGGCAAGGAATCACTCAGAATGTGGCCTCTCGATCAACCTCTCAGTCACTCGTGACTCAACTCTCATCACTCAGTCTCTTTAATATCTCTTATTAGTAGAAACCATAATAACCGGTGCAGCGTGCCCGATCCATTATTTATAGTCGACT